CTCATCCAGGAGGACTGAGATCGATGAATATCTCAAATTTGTCATTCTGCCGACCCGCTGCCTTCATAAGCAAAGACTCAGGAAACTTGCGACTGTTGGCTTTCCAAACCTCCTTGGCTTTTCAAACCTCCTTCTGGATGAGCTGAGTCTAACACTGTGCTTGGAATCTCCTGAAGCTGTAAAAATAAGTTTTAGGGCCTTGGAGATTGCTGAAAGGGCTGGAGGAGATATTCCCGTCAAAGATAACCATTGGCTACAGGAGACTTTATGACTGAAGTCACTCCGCCCGGCAATTGGCTGGTTGGCTCAAGCAGCCAATCGCGCCTCAGTTGGTGAGATGTCGAACGATCTAGTATTGCCTTGCCCAGCCCCTCTAGCGATTCCCAGGGCCGGAAACACCCTAAAAACTTTTTCAACAACCTCGAGAGATTGCATACTCCTGGACTCAACGCATCCAGAAGGCCAAAAATTGATGAAAAATTCAAAGTCGCAATTTTTCCGAGCCACCGCCCTTGAATGGATTATTTCATCGTGCTGATTTTTTAGACAACTGTAGTAGCTATTTTACTAGTAACCATAAATGCAATTCTGCATATCATAGGTAGCTTCTATGGTTCTAGAATATTCACGAAAAGTTAATTATTTTATCCATAAAACTTCAGATATATTAGTATTCTAGAATATGTACATCATCTCTAGTAAATTACAGATTCCATAGTGGTCATAACGACAAAGTCTTCACGTATTTTGCACCAACGTTCTTCTGTTGTGTGGAGATCCTAAAAGCAGAAAAAAGCAGGAAAACATGAACAGATTACATTCAAATGTCTTACTGTGATATAGATAGAAGGTCTTCCACTGAATCACTTCTTCGTTTTGCTCCTACACATAAGGACACTGCCAAAGCTGCCAAGGATAATGCAAGCAGAGTAAGGCCAGAGAGATAGACAGTTGGTTGTAAGCATACTTCTGTAACCAACCAAGAGCATACTGTAGATGGTTGTTAAGGAAAGTGGTCCCACCAGGAAATGTTCTGCTGTCTTTTTGGAAACTATCAGCAGCCCTGGCCTTCACAATCAAACGATGATCGACTCGAATCGGATGCTTCTCGGCAAGCGAGCGAGACCTTCGATCCTTATTTGGAGGACAGGTCATCTAAAATTACCTTTTTCAAATATTTAAGATCTCACGACCATCACACTTGTGCCGAAACGATTTTTCAAACTATAAAAATCAAACCAACGCTAACGTTGGGACATGCATCATCTGGACAGACTGCCACCAAACAGACGATATCAATCTGTTCACTTCCATCGATACGAAAAGCTGACAATGCCGATTCCCAGCCATTTGGTCCTACTTTCATTGGTGCCATCAATGAAGGAAGAAGCGCGCAACTGTAGAATATATCATTGAATCAAATAATTGAAGAATCTAGACTGCGCTTTACCCATCGGTAATGAGGCTGACGGAAGTGGGAGCTCCAGATCCTCCAACTCGATGTGCTGTACATTCCATGACCCGAAGTCGCTCAGCTGCAAGATTTATTCGCACTTTTGAGAAAGGCATAACTTATTCTACTTCTAGAGCTAGTCTTTACAAAGTTTTTATGTTTTAAAATGGTATTTTTCGAACGACAAACATACGTGGAATGTCACTTTCAACTCTGGCAATGAGCGCTTCACCGATAAA